GACCCGCGGTGATGATGGGCTGTAGCGTATCGATACCGCTGATGTCGTCAATATGCCATCAACTCATAGCTACCTCAGCCTGAGCATGCCACCCACCGCCGTCAGCCGGTCGTGCAAGTGGGCATTCAACATCTAACTAAATATCCGTGTCAGAGTTAACCATACAGCCACTATGGCTAGCAAGTTATGACTCTCGTTGAAATCACAACGCGGTTAGCGCTAACGCTACCGGCTGGGAGCATCGTAACGGCGAAACATGACAGTAACAGCTGTCCATGTGGCCCGTTAGACATCAAGGTCAGGCGATATCGAGTGGGTGCAACCAGTTCGTTGCTACCCTTGTCGCTGTTGCTGACTGACGCCAGCCAGCCAACGTTTACCAGGACATAGATGATATTCACGCCAACGATGGGTGGCAACGAGGTGCCTGTGGAACGATAAACTGTCACTCACACCAGACTACTCGAAATGTGTGAGGTGTTGCGTATGGACCTCAGCCGTATGACAATCTCTTAAATCAAGATTATTCATCTACCGACCGACCGACCGACCGATCGACCATCCAGTCAGACGAGTGGCTTTGATGAAGATGAAGGGTAGTTTAATTGCTTGCTTTCCTCCGGTGGGCGTGATACGCCTCAACTCGGTCTGCTTTGGTCTGATATCCGTACTTCTCTATGTCAGCTTCAACGTCTGGAGGAATTAAAAAGCAAATTACAGCGGAATACGTTTATATGCATGTAGTGGGGTGCAACTGGAGATGGCACCTGCTGGAGTGCCTTTCTGCATGCTCGTGCCCTCGGTGCGTAGAAAACGGAGCTAGAGATATTGCTTATACCTGACAAACATGTAACAGCTGCTGTGGCTGTTTTCGGGTTGGCACCCCAAAAGACCTCAAGGGGGATCGCGGGTGAAAGTCAAGCCTTGAAATCACATTGGATAGCATTTGCATAAGATTTCTGTATTCTTACAATAGCCGCGACGGGCAGCAGCAAAGACGAACAAGTTTAAGACACTTGTCGTTAATTGTGCTTGGAAACAATCATAAAATATGTAGCACGGTTGAATTTCTGTCCGAAGTCGATACGGAATCGAAACTTATCACGCAAGTATAGTTAACAGAGACAAACGCTGACCGTGGTTTGTGATCTTATTACGAAAGTTAATTAGAGTAGCTACAGGACTTATTACCATACACATAATTAAGGCACCACTATCATTAGATGATTAGTAACTAAACACATAACATAATAGTTTGATCAAATTTTATATAGCTCTCCAATCGAACAGAAATTCGTTAAGCATTAAATAGAAATAATATCGCACAATATTATATCTGGGTTCCCTACGAATAAAGTTAACCGATTATTATTGGGGATATAAAATTATGGAAACAGCAATAGGTATAATAAAGCTGTTTTACTTTATTGCGGCCTGCTTAGAGTGAGCGGACATATCATTCCGTATGTCGATACGATTTGAAGTGTTTGGCTTAATGAAGCCGAACAGTCACAAACTGTAGTTAAGATAAAAGTGCCCTCAGAGCGTAGCATCGTATCGCCTGCATGCAGCTGTTAAGTGCGAGTGTATACCTCAGAGGTTCAGTTTGTTGTTTTTTCCCTTTGGGCCCTTGTGGAGTGCGCACCAATTCGAATGGACTACTCTATAGTGCCGTTTGGCCAATCATAGATATGATTTTCTCTAAGCCATATATATGATCTATATGGAATGAAAGTGTGCCACACGCACTACATAAACTATCATGCTTGCAATCACCCACTTTGTGGAGGATAGGCGACAGAAAGCTATCACTATTGTAGTTCATTTTCGATCAAATTAAACACGGGTCCTAGTTTAGCTTGTGCCTAACGTGGTACATACAAGTTCTAACGCGCTACCACTTGTTTGCACTCAAAAACGTAGCCGCTTAAATCGCTCGGTAGACGGATCTACTTCGATCCTGACCTGGTACAAATAGTAGCGAAGATCTTTTTCGTATCCAGGAATGAGTAATAGTGCCTTTCCTGCTGTCTGTATTATCCCCTTTCGGAACTGACATTGTCTTTGGGAATGCGCGCTCCCGACATTCGCGGGAAACTTTCCGCCTGTCATTGAGACTGGATAATTAGTTAATCCATACTTTTTATTGGGATATAACATATCTGTCACTGCTGCAATTATTACTCCAATTTCTACCCCTTTCAGCAATAGGAAAAGTGCAGTCCTCTTAGTCAAGCAAGCAAGTAGCGCTTATTGTCTCACTCCTACGTGTACTGTGACTCTAACTAGAACATCACAATACACGCTGGCCATGGCTAAATTGTGAACCTAGAAGGCCTTATTCAGCTGCCTATATGATCGCACGGTAAATGTGAAGGGGGTTCCAAATTGGCAAATCATAACAATTCTCCTAAACGTTTTTACTGCAATCACAGCAGCGGCACTCAACGAAGCCGATAAACATAATGGAAAAGCAGCAGGAGCTGCAGGCATCGTCACGGTCTCATACTCAATTCACGGATGAGATTCTCCCGCGTTTCCGCAGCAATGTAGAGTAAACGACATTCGTTCCCACTTTGTTTCGTCGTTCTCTGCTGGATCGTCCTGCAGACAGAAAAGGACTCAATGGGACATCGCATCTCGTTTCTCCTGCGCCCACGCGACGCTACTAATCTAAACCGCGTCGTAGATTAACAGGCCGTTGAGTCTGCTAATGCTGCAGCGACGGCCATGATACCGATATGATCGACGTATGAGCGCCTCAGTGATTGCTTCCTACCGCTGTAATGCTACCATCGCACCCAGTGCGATATAACGTCGCACGACGCCTGCAAAGGTAGGGCACTGCTGTCGTTACCGTTGCGCCAGAACCTCACGGCAAGCTTGAGGTGCATGGACCTGTCTGTTTACCCGTATGCATTCCGGCGACTAAACGTCAATCTGGGGGGCATTCGATTTTAAGCGGTGTATAGTGAATGTATTTTTGGAGTTGTACGTCTGCCACTGCCGCTAAGTATAGCGTATTCCGACGAAGTTCAATGATACTGTATAGTGTCACTAACGTGTAAATACCTTACCCTACAATCCAGCTATTCTAGCCTTCCATTTAGGTGAGCCTGCCAGTTCTCTGCACGTTGACTGCGGTAGTATTCTTTTCAAAAGTCTAATCCAAATGCTTCTCTAAAATAATGTTGGATTTTGAGAATGTTGTCGCTTGCCGTAATAGAAGGTCGATAAAGCAAAATGTATCGTGCTTCTGAAAGAACGAGAAACGAAAATAAGCAATTGACGTCTATACGTCTATGAATATGACTTCTTTAGTTAACAGAATTACCGATTTTAAATGGACTACTCAACTCCACAGGTACTGCCGCGCTCCGCAAAATGGTTTGGTCTTCATATGGCTGGCCTTCGCAGCCTATTGATAGCGCTGGGGCCGTTGGTGCGCTTGCTTGCCCAACAACATGAGTAACCTCTGTACAATCAGGCTATGTCACAATAACTACTGCCCACAGGCACAGTCCCACAATAAGTGAATAGGCCAGCGCTGGCGCCCGCGTGAACAGCAGCAAAGCAAGTAAAGCCGTTGTCAAATAACGCCGTCCACATATAATCACTATTATCAGTTGCAATCTCCGTCCCCATCAACAAAAACAACAACGACATCTACTACAGCGACGACGAAACTGTTGGTGGGGAGCAGGTCTGTGGGGCAAGCCGCTCCGCGTCCCGCCACCGCGGCAATTGATTATAATTAGTTGTGTCGTTTTGGTTGCAGCGGATGTTGATGTTGTGACGACTATTACCGCCACTGTTCTTGTAGCTATTGCTGCCGCCGCCGCCGCCATTGTTGTTATAGTTTGTTCCGCCTCGTCACGTAACTGCGTCTGTAATAGCTATGTTGGCATTGTGTATGTGCTTAAACTTTTGACAGGATTCATAGCAACTGTAGTTTCTTGATTATGTCGCCTTGTCGTTGTGGTTTATTCCCGGTAGACGCGATGAGCGTCGTCACCGGCGACGATGAGGGCCTGTTACGCGCACAGACACAAAGGAGCGATGCAGCTGGCCATTAGATCGCGGCTTAAACTAGCTTACCTAGTTAGCTGAACAGCATCCACTAAGTTACACTGAGTAAAGAGGCTACCGTACGATGATCAATGGCTACATCGATAGTCAATCGTTTCCATTATCACTTTTTTCTTGCGTCTTTCTGTAATGCGTCTCTTAATCTGATTAGTTTTAGGATTATTGTTTACGGCATGTATGTATATCGATAGTTTCAATAATTTTTATTTGAGCAACTGGAAAGTATGGGTAACGAATGCACAGCTACCAACGAAGCTTAGTCGCGGATATCCTGATGTTACTGATGTAGCAATATCTGGAATTGAACGATGTTGTTACCATTACGACCAGCGTATCATCGAAGGCGACGTGCTAATGCGGATAAACTAAACCAAGACATATCTGTCATGTACCGTGCTGCTCTTCCGTATTTGTTGGAGAGACGATTATGTCAAAAGACAGCTTTGCCAGTTATCGTCGAGCGCGAAAATAGATAGATTATAGCAAGGGGGCTTGAAACGTTTTACCCCCGCTGTATTATAGCTATCATATCATGCAGTTAGATGCAGTGATGGTATCGGTGTTCATGTCGCCAGTGAATCCTAGCATTATCTGTTTCATTACTCTTAGTATAGAGTATATAGATCCTATGTGAATTCTAAATACGTTATGAGTGAATATTTAAGAAAAAATGCATTTGAATAAATCTGTTTACTTTTCATGAATTTATTTATCTGAGCCAAGTCGTCTATGTACTTTCGAACGTACACGTAACTTTGTTTCGAACGTGAAACTGTTTTTAAATGAGTATAACTCACTACACGTATATACAGTTGTCATATTTATATGCGGTTTCACGTAGAGTATTGTTAACTGAATACCCTTTTTTTTCTGTAAAGAAATAATCTTGTTCTTTACGATTTCTTTTTTAGGCAAAAATCTAAAAAAAAAAAGGCCAACACGCAAAATGCGAGTGGTAGCGACAACAGCAGCGACGTGGAGCGTGTTACTCTGTCTCGCAGCCATCAATGTTCGCTCGGTCACGAGCGGCGATGATGTCACGGAAGCTCCTTCGGGCGACATCGAGGTTACTACTACACGTCTACACAAGTCCACGTTCCAGGAACAGCCATTTTGGACTACGACAGAATCATCCGACAAGGATGACACAGTTACAACAGCGGTTCCCGGTGCACGTCTAGCACATGCTGATATTCGGCGGGTAGGTCCTAAAGACGTCGTCTATCAGGGATCTGTAGCTACTCCGGAGCCGACAGCGCCAACGTCAACTGAAATCGTTACATCTACATCTGAGCTAATCGGTAATTCTGAAAATGCCGCGGAAGACGATGAGCAAAAGAAGCGTGAAGATGCTCCGCAGAAAGTTAGCTTTCAGGTGCTGAAGAGCGCAAATGATGCTTACCGGCCAGCTATGCAGAGCGGGCCTGCAGTGGTAAGACGGACGGAAGTGATGCAGGAAACGTACCGGGCATTACCTAACGATCCTGCTCCCACCATCGTGGACAGTGCATTTAGCCCCACCCTTGTCGAAGAAACTGGCGACACCATAAACGACAAAAGTATCGCCTCCGGAGGCATCCATTTGCCCGACCAGATAACCGATCGTGTTACGCAGACAGGCGCCGCTGCCATCACTGCCATTACTGCCGACAAAGACGCTAACGACAACAACGACAAAGCAAACGCGTCGCGATCATCATATTTAACGTATAGCGACAACGGCCAGCATTACGCCGCTGCTGTCGAAACGATCACGGCGACAGGCAAAACACCTTCCAGTTCGAAAACACCGCTTTCGATTGGGATTGCCATTAACTCGAAGCAGAATCAACAGCACCAGAAGCTAAGCGCCATTGCTGTCGCTGCACCTACACAGGAAATCAGCAACAACGGCCATTCGATAAATGGCGACCAGTCTGTCACGGATACGCCTTTTCCTTCGGCCGTTGCTATCAGTGTCAACAGCCAACAGCATCATCGTCATCCAGAAGTGGCAAGTAAATCCACACAGACTGCAACGAGGCAGACGGCGCATGACAAGAAACCTACAGATGAATCAGCGAACATCTCCGATATCGACAAAGGCAACAGCTTTACATCAACCGAGTTTCCAACAAGGGATCGTCAGACGACAGGTGACTCCAGCAGTGGATTAGTGGCGTCGATGGCAAAAGCAATGGCCACCGTCTTTGTCTCAGTAAATGCGACAAACCCTGTGCCGGCCCCCGACGTCGTGACCACTGTCCGACTGACGACGGACGACCTTTCTGGGGAAGCTAGTTCCAGCTATACGACCACCACTATTCATGATACAGGTATTACTACATCGAGCAGTAAAAGTAGCATCAACGGTCGAAATCGAACTAACGCTATTAATAGTTACCCTGCCATTAGCGGTACCGAAAATAACAGTACAATAACGGCCACAGCAACAACCGATGAAGACGACGCAGACAAAGTTCGCTCTTCTCCTTCCTCTTGTCGTTCGACTGCTGTTACCCGCGACGCCGCTGGTGGAAGAGGTACTGCTGCCGTTAATCCTGCTGCCGGAGTGCCAGCCATTACGCCAGGTAGAGGCAACAAAACTACCTCCTCAGCACCTCTGGCTGAAGCAACTCTTGAACTACGGCTTAACGAGGTCGTGGCCGTAGCAGAACATATCATTAACGGAAATACAACTTTAAGTAATAGCTTCGTCACCAGGGCGAGTAACGCGTCGTACCCTACAGTCACCGCCTCCAACACGGCCATCGTCGCAGCTGGTACAGCAGAAAGTACACTAATCAGTGCCGAAACGGCTGAATCGAAAAAAATTAGGAGAGTCAAACATGAACAACAACAACAACAACAGCGACGACGACAGCAAGAGCCGATAACGATGCAGCCGCTGCACGGCCGACACAAGCAGCGCCTCGAGCTACGCCAGCCTTCCGAGGAAAGCGACATCGGCAGTAGCCCGATGCTCAACGACGGAACAAGTGACGCGACAGAGAACTTTGACGACACCCCCGTGGAGGAACTCCCGGCCATGTCCATGATGGCCCTTAAAGCTGGTCCTTTAGTAGAGTTCAGTTACAAAGAAGGAACGCCAAAGCCACCATCGCGCAGTGAGGTGCGCGAGCCAGCCAAACCTATTGGCGAAATTACTGAGGATGATCAGGTTCAGACAGCTGATAAAGACGACACGTAAGTTTTATTACAAAAGAACTGATAGTTTTTATAGAGAGTACTCAATACTGTGTTTTAAGATAGAGAAACTCGTCTAAATTCGATTCGCGTGAACGGAGTGTTTTAAGCAATGCCAACTTAGAGGCATCGCTGGGACACGATCTTGTTTACTTTATTTTTAGGTCGAAAATTGGACATGATTTGGGTATATATACAGTTAGCTTTGAAGGAAGAATAAACATGAATAGAGATTGCGCCGAACGTTCCAGTGATATTTATAGATATAGGTTTTTTGAGTGTCTGTGTTTTTCATTGAAGCGTTCTATCGATTTGTAGTCGATCTACAACACGCTTTTTTCGCCTATGAAAATACAAAAGTCCGTTCTAATGACTGCTTTGCTAATTAGCGTATAGAATTATGTTCCCACCCGCCAAAACGGAGGCATAAAATAACTCTGAACGGCCGTTTCGCCATCATAGGAGCAGTGTATATTGCAAAGGCTTGGCAACAGCTACTGAGGCGCGATGTTTGAATTGCATGTTTTACACTTACCGAGCCGGAATCGTACCCGCAAAATAGCTTTTTGTTCTGCGTGGCGTCGTAAATATCCGACGGTCAGCATCATCATTACTAGCCTTTCTGTTACTTTTTGTTATTGTACCTGTACTGGTTTTATGGGCCCTTCACTATCTCGAATCGAATTCATGTGCAGCTTACTCAGTCGACCGACCGACCGACCGACCGATCAGGCGGTGTTCCACACCGAGCTGAATCCCATCGCCTGTTTATACTAATCACGGTCGCGTGTCCCCTTCGTCCTCCTCTTTCTCCCTATTTCTATAAATAACAAATTATCGCATGCAACGCGAACAAATGAGCGACAACGTTCGACGTAACAACGGCACCCGTCTGGCGTCACCGCTGCGAGGTTGCCCATCGCGTTCGTTTCTCGTCTCTCAATCGACGCTGTCTATCGCGCACGCCGTCCGCGCTGCCGAATGAACGAAAGCCGGAGGACCAATACTAAATTCTGCTAATAGCTTAAAGTGGCTTAAGAGAAGAGCCTAACAAAGTTCTGTCTCGGGAAGTCTATGGAACGAGGATGAAGGATATTGCAGCGGTAGCAAGGCAAATAAGGGTTAAGCGGAAGACTCCTTGTGGACTAGATAAGCAAATGAGCTAACCGAGGTTATGCAAATGCTTTACTTGCGGCCAGTCGACAATGGAGCTAGTGAGTTAACCGCTGGCAGCGGTCGCTCAAGAGAACAGCGAAACGAGTGGCCTGTTTCTATGCTGCAATCCACTACAACTCCTACGCACCTACGAGATGACCATATACCCTGCAGGCCGCTACTAGGACCACAAATGCTGCGCTGACATACTCGTATGCCAACTCGTACTACCGTTACAAGCCAACCTGAAACTAGTTTCGGAAGAAACTGCGTACCGCACCAACGCTTCTGATAATGTTTCATAAAGTTTTGTTATATGAATAATCTGTTGTAGTTGTACTCTTCGTGGCTACTGACCGGGCAAACGAGCCGATCAGGACAACTTAACAAATATTGCTACGAGGAAGTGTCCTAACGCTTTAGATGTCGCTTTTGAATGAACACTGTTCTAATATGGCGACAATAGTCATGAGGCGACCCCTAACACGGGAACGAGAGTACGTGAATTTGTTGTAATTGCTGGTGCGGGTTTTGTATTCGTGGGAACGTTGCAATGTTTGAATAATAGCGTGATTTTTTTAATAGCTTTCGTTTTAGTGAAGACGTTCACCACGTTGAATGATGCAACTTTGGTTGTCTTCATTTCAAAGGGTAACGTTGCATCTTGATTTTTATTTGTTGGCAGATTATAGTAAAGAAAAACTATATATATATATATATATGTCAGGTTCTATTATAGGTTTCCCTGTAAGTATCTGGGTTAGGTACTGCTATGCAGAAATACGGATGAGGTAAGTTATCGATTTCTCCAATATTCCCCTCACATGCACGATACTAACGAAGTTTTTTTTTTTAATATCTCTTTCCCTTTCGGTTGATTTGATCTTTTTCGCTCTGTATTTCCCCTAGCGTTTAATATTTACATTTTACGCACGTCTCTGTAGAGGAGTTCGCCGTGTTACAGCCTGAAACTGAGAGAAGGGAAAAGAATGAACGGAGGCAATGGCAATGACAATTGAATCGCAGCAGCAGCAGTGTCTAGATATGGATAACGTAAACAGATCAACGATCTCTATTTGTCTGCACGTAGATCCATTCTCCTCACGCTTGGTAAACGGGTAGTTAATGCGCTAGTCATTGCATACGGAGCCGCGTTTGTTTGCTGCAGAGGTGGGGGTTATTTCGAGGGTCGCTTTGGGGAGGTAAATAGAACTGACTTTAGCTTCTTCTGATTCATTGTAGTCAGCGCGAGGTACGCCAATCTCATCTACCCGATTTCTCGCACTCCACAAAAGTCCACAGGGACAGACTGCTGTTTTGGTAGTGTGTTAGTGCCTTGTCCCGTGCTGTACAGTAAATACACCGAGTTCATTGGGGTGCTTGGTAAAGCACTTTGTTTACAGGGCAGTAATCGTGTGGACTTCGTTGGCTCTGCGGTAATAGAAGACAATGCAAGTGTTGTTGTGATGGTAGTCATATCATTGTGGCTGGCGCTGCTCCTTTCCCAGTTGTCAAGAGTTTATTAGAGATTACTTAATAAAGCAATACCAAAACCTTGAAACAACAAACAGAAAGGAAAGTAGACTATCCGACTAAGTCACTTCAGTACATCGAGCCTTAGACGACTGTTAGAGCGCGGGGAGTACGTCCACGGATAAGGGCGAGTGTGGCGGTTCCAGAGTGTGCTATTTCGACAGAAAGCGGCACTTACATTAGAGGCCACGACAGCTTTCATCCATACTTCCGCGCTGTGCTGCTCTGTGTTTGTTCGTCTCAAGGCCCCATCAACGAAGCTGTCGATCAAATTAAAGCAAAGTTTCTGTTTACGGCTGAGCAAGGATCGTAATTAGAGCCAATTAATAAGTAAAAACACTCAAAATAAAACTATTACTAGAATGACAATGATTGGTAAAGGAGACCGTAACACAATGTGAACCATCCATGCTGCGTACTTCCACGCCTGTAACACCCGTTGGATAAGACTGGATCAAGCAGATGTGGCTATGCGATGGATATAAGTTCATACAATAACAATAATAGTAGTAAGCACCCTATACGGTTTCATACGCAACCACTTCTGCACAATAAAGTCAATGAATTGAATCTCCCACTCGGTTGCGTATCAAAGACGTACCTTTCTCTTTATATCGCTGTTGCTTACTAAATGTTTGGATTTATACGTCTTTAAGATAAACGATACTGTGTTTAGGCTATACGATTTCAAAATGCATACATTTTGCTCGCTTATGCGCGCGTCCGCTGAGGGTCGAAAGGGTGAAATTCGAACGTTCGCTTTAAGGCCGACTCAGCATGAAGTCATGCCTGTATCTAATCATATACCCATTCTATGATTTAGAGTGAAGAATAAAGAAGGCAAGACGGCACAGCTTACGTCCCACATATATCCTTACTGTTTCCACAAAGTCAAAGGCGTTCTTGGCTAATTACATTTACGTGAGGCTTTGTTTTTTAAAACAGGCCAGTTTCACCTGTATCTATTCCATTCACCCAAAAGAAATGAATGAATGCTTTGTCGGATAAATAGAGCATGCATCCTGGGCCCCTAGTTATTACGGTTTTGCCGGCCTTTTTATCACAAGTATCAGCTAATTTATAATTTAAATACAAATGATAATCAGTAATGCCATTTGTGCACGAGACGCGTTCCTTTTCCACGATCGCCTTAACCTGAGTTACTTCGTATCTTTGATTCGATCTACCTTGTTCACCCGCTTGTTTCGCTCATTGACGACCTTATACGCCGCGTCCCACTGCTATAATCCCAACGGGGATATATTTTGAAGTTATCCAGGCATACATGTTCATTACCAATACAGATCGGGATTCTGCTAGCGCATTGCGTATGTGCATAACAATCAGAAATAGGCCCTTCTAGGGCCAAGATTTCATGAGCGTAGGTCAAAAGCTAGAAAATCACGAAAAGGAAGAAATGGTTAAGCCCTCCGAGTTTTGGTTGTCGACGATCCTGACGGCCAAGCATATATATATATATATATATATATATATATATATATATATATATATATAGTGAGATCTCAAACAAAACGCTGATTCTGTACTCCCCCACGCTACAGAATGGAGCAGAACAAATGAGACAAAATTGGTCAAATTTTACTCAAGATATACAAAATTTGAGAAATGAAATGTATGTAATTTACGTTACGGAAGAATAAAAGCAGCTAAATGAAGCGAATTAAGGTGATCACAAAAACCTGTTATTAATGTATCGTCAACACAATGGCATTTATTCGTCTTTGATAATACAGATTCAACAAAAAAAAATATATATATAGTCATTTATATGCTTGTACGGCCATTAGTTACAACACTGATCAAATGAAAGATTAAAAACAATGCATAGTCGCTCAGCCTGCGATAGAATCAGTGCACTAGGCTTCCAACCGAAGGCACCAGGCGGCGGGGTTTCTTCCCCAACTATTAAAAATACACCCTTCGCTAGATCTATGGAAGCGACCATTTATACATAATTTGTGGTGAAAGCCCCGGATCGCGAATCGGGTAACTGCGTGATGGTTTGTCCGCCTCGACTCTTTCGAGTCATTGCCTCTCACTGCTCACGTGCTGAAAAATTTGCCGTCTATTTGAAACGTTCAGACTAAGGCCTTGCTTGCCGGAAGTCTAAAACGAGGTCCCATATCCGCGATCCTAGCTCTTCTTTTTGAATTTTACGGCCTCCGTTCTATCCAGGTTAGCCGTTAATCCCAATTCCGGTACTGCCGTATGAAGCCTACACAGAACCTGTTGCACTTCAAATCTGCTGGCTGCAGATTACCAAGTTATCCGCATAGATAATAACTTCAAGT